GGAATGGAGGAATGGGGTACAATGATAACTACTATTACTACGAGCCTCCTGAATCCTTAGATTCAAGAACACAAACCTTACCCTTTGGTTAGTAGGGAATGGAAGAATGGTAGTAGTCGTAGTTATCATTGTACCCCATTCCCTGCATTCCCTACTAACCAAAGGTAAGAAACGAGCCACCAAGGGCCACGGCTAGGGGCAAAGCGCGGCCGAAGGCTCGATGGCCCAACACAAAGGTGGCCAGGACATAGGGGCGAACCCGAGAACCTTCGCCCCAACGAGCCACCTGATGCTTCGCAGGTTGAAGGTCGAACATGGTCGAACACAAAACGGCCCATCCTGAAAACACACAGAAAACCTGGACAAAAAGTCGGTTGAGCTCAGCGGCGCGAGTGGAGCCGACTACACCGGCTCTGCAAGCCCAGGCGACGCGTGGTGTCCAGGTGATGGGCCGGAGGAGTTTCACATGAGAAGAGTGAAGCATTCGGCGGTTTCTGCCCAAGGTATCAGGACAAAGGGTTACTCGAAGTAAACCTGCCAAAGTTGCATGCTTGATCCTAGGTGTCACCTGTCTTTTGGCCTGCTTTGTTTTCGCACCCTTGTTCTAACGCCTCGCATCAAAAGGCCTATCTCCAACCAGACCCTACATGTCGTCTGTTGCACGGTCTCTACCACATTCTACCACCTCCATACTGGGGTTCATGTCAAGTCCCAGTCAAAATAAGCAGGCTTCGGCAGCTGAAGTTGGTCGAACCAGGTTTACCTCTCTGAGCCGGCTTCATGTCCTGTCTGGGGTCCAGGCCCCGACAAGTAAGCGACCGTCAAGCCATGGATTTCGCGAATCTGTGCAGGGAACTCAAAGAAACCCTTGCTCTGCTGAGGCCTGCGGGCGATCATCTCTGGCCCCGCGCACCCCGAAACCGCCCAGGAAGTTGAGGTTCCTGCAATTTTCGTACTTTCCCCTTCTTCCGAGATGCTGCGACAACATCTGAGGCGGCGGCTCGCAAAGTTGCTTGCCCTCGGGAGCGGCCTGTCTCCAAAGTCCAGGGGACTTAGGATCGCCGAGTTGGCAGTTGGCTTCTGCTTCTGTGCACATGAGCAAGGCAGTGAGCCTGCAAGAAGGCGGCGCTCTTGCTGTCTATGAAGTAGGTGTCGATGGGAACCTACAGGCCGAAAAAGGAAGGGCCGAGAGAGTCCTTGGACTGCAAAGGAGTGCACCTTTCGGCCGCCCGAGACGAACTCCGCCAATCCAGCGGCCGCCTTTCTGCACTGCAGAGCAGTGCAAACGATTTTTCTTTTTTTGAGGGCAATAAAAGGATAAAAAAGGAGCAGCCGCGTCTCCTCCTTGTCTCCAACCGTTGGCAAAAACCTGGGCTTTGCAAACGGACTTCCATCGGCTGCTGTGCTGGTCGTTTCGTTCTTTGCTTCGCAACTCAGGGGAGCACGCGCCCACAGCAAAAAGAGCGGTGAACTGGCCAACTTTCTTCTGCTGTGTTTCCACCTGCATGGCCACACTGCATGGTTGCCTTGAGCTCCCCACGCACGCACACAGACAGCTGCAGTGCCACTTCTCTACACCCAGACTCCACACAATGTCGAGAGCAACGTTCAAAGCCCTTTTTCGTCCCTGCACTACTGTGCGGCTCCAAGCAATCGGTCGATCAGGTCGCTCTTCTCCAGGCAGCCATCGGTCGAGAGTCCGGCTTCCTTCAGTCGGGCCTTCAGCTCTTTCAAAGGCAGCTGCTGGAGCTCTTCGCGGCTTCCCCTCGCTGGCGCAAGAAGCAGCCGACTTAACAAAAACAAACCTTGCTCTTTCTTGGGCTCTTTCTGAAGAGAGGGACTCTAGCAACGGTCACCGAAATCCAAAAGCTTTCCCACTGTGCTGGACCATGGCACGCAGCCTTTCCATCGCCATCAAGGCCCAGCTTGTGCCGGCCGACTGCGGAGACCACGGAGGCGAAGGCAGAGGCTGCAGCGGATGGCCCCCCTCCGGCGGGCGTCTCCATCGCCAGGAGCAGCTTCATTCCATCCTTCACGGCCTCTCCTTCTTGCAGCTCCTCTCCAGATTCGGCGTCAAAAATCCGGAGGTTTGCTAGCCTTGGACAATGGCGTGCACATGTTACGCAACACCCGCGGACTGATATGAGACTTGCACTACAAGCCAAGTCGCGCTGCAACAGCGTGGCAAAAGGGGATGTTCTGCCAAAGCTTATCAATAGCCCGATTCTTCGCATAGCCCAGGTCCTTGCCTGCCATGATCTCGACATCAGTCGCCAGGCCGCGCGTCATGACAGTTAGGAGAGTCGCCTCATCCTCAGACACCGCAAAAGATAGCTTGGGCATGGGCGCAGCTGCTGCCCGTCTACACAGGGCAAAAGTTCAGGTTTAACACAAGAAATTCGCGCATCTTGCAAATGAAGAGCCAGTGTTGTGGCCTGTTCTGCGTACTGTGCCTCTAGCTGGAGCCGAAACGAGGAAAAGGCGAAGCATGGCGGCAGGTAGCGGTTCATGCAGGTACTACACAGACGGCAAAAAGGCATCCTGCAGCAACAGCTAGTATGCTTTCCCGCCTGTGCATAAAGCTTCGTCAAGTTACCCTCCGCATCACCAACCAGCAACACACGCCGGCGGTCGTCCATCGAAGGAGCTTTCTTATCTTAACTTTATGGAACGAATTCTGGAGCCTTCTACACATCTAGACTTGCCTTGTTGCGACAGAGATTGCATGATAGTGCCTGCAAACAGCCGGGCCCCCCTCTGTTGCCTGAGTTTCTTCATGCTTGTCGGCTGCTGCTGCGCTGGTGTCCTAATCCCAGCTGCTCAGTAACTTTGGAGGGTTTTGTGTCCAAGCCAAACAACACAACACGGCAGAAGCAGCTCGATGTAGCTTTGGGTGAGCTATGGGTACCACCTCACAGCCTCGGAGACTCTCCGGCTCAGGCGGACTCAGGCTGAAGCACACGGACTTTGCGCTAGGCAGCGCCTTTGGTCGGGCATCAGAAGTCCAGTTTCTCGAGCTGTTCACCGAACTCCTCCTTCGACAGTGCGCAGACTTCGCCAATGGTTCCCTCCAAGGAGTTGAAGGCAGCATTCTTGTGCGCAGCTGCACGGCCCTTGGCAAGGCCGCCGACATCTGCGCCTGTACACATTAAGCACCAGAACTTGCCGGACTTTGTGCGGAGTCCCCCGAAAACCACCTGATCATCTCGGATGCAAGAAAGGAGCTCAGAGCCAGAATCGGACCCTGAGGCCATCAGCTTCAGCTTGCTTTTCCCTTCATAGGTCATAAGAAGCCAAGCGGTCTCACCACCGCGAACTCTCGACCAAGCCTCCTGAACTTCGGGGTCAATGTCAAGGCCCGAGGATACCTTGATCCCTCCATCTGTTCGGAACAAGCCCCCACCGCCTGCATCCATGTTGGGCACAGATGGCGTAGCTCGGCTATTCGCTTATGGCATCTTATGTCCGTCACCTGTACAAGTAACTGGCAAAGTAGCTGCAAGCATTGGGCTCTGAACGCTTCGTTTGTCGCATGCCTGGGCAAATCGCTCTAAGTCTGTGAACCAGGACCTGGTAAGTATGCAGAGTGAGGCTTTGGGCTTCTGCAAGCCAGGTAGGGCACCGATGATTTCTGGCCTCCAGGCTCTCCAAATATAGATCCTAGCGTCCCAGCACCAAAGCACAGGAGCTTTTTCAGTCGCCGAACGCGCCAGCAGATTATGGACAGAAGTGACAGAAGTGACAGAAGTGTGCTTTTCAATGGCATCTAGACGTACGATCACGTTGAAAGACGCGCCGTGCATCTAGAAGCACAATCCCGCTCTACAAGGTGCCGTGCACCTTGAAATCACGCTCCAAATGTCTTGCAAGAAGTACAATGATGCTTTAAAGGTGCCACGGAACACCCGTAGAGGCCCGACGGGTCCGACGGGTGACAAAGGAGCCATTCAAGGCTTTTTGCTCATCAAGATGCCTTGACAATGCCGCCTTGAGGCCCTGGCCTCCGACCTAACAAATGTGCGAGGTGAGAGCGGCGAAGGACCTCGGCAGCTAGCTACACTGACGGAAGAAGCCGTCGAAGGACTGTGCCGGTGTAAATTTATCCGGCAAGTCAACTTAAACCCGGAATAGGTCGAAGTTCGGCTGGCGTTTTTCAGCACATGCACGTGACAGCCTTTCAGGCGTAGACAGTCATTATCAATCTCCACATCGACAGTCCACAGAAGCAATTAATTTTCGCGACATGTTCGGATATCTTGCCAGGGAAGGCTATAGCTGCCACGCTTGACTCACGCGGAGTGCATGCAGCATAGCACACACAGCTCGAGACTAACGGGCGACGGTTGCCGATGGAATTTCCCATCCCGACCCTGGCAGTTCTCAATAACCTGTCGTTGGCTTCGAAAAGTCTCGGGCAACCGAGCGCCCTCTGATAAAGACACCATGACATATAAATTCAGGCCAGATCCCACACAATAAGTCTGGACGGCCTGCGAATGACCTCGCGCCAATCCTCAATCACTGTTCAGACATAAATGGAAGAAGACCTTTGAAGAGTAAGGCTTAGAGAAGGATGCAACGGTTGTCAGGTCCTAGCTGCGTCTTCGAGGGCGCATGTACGGTCCAGGGGCCTTGCCCGGCACTTGCTTGTGCGGAGACGATACGCTCGGAAGGGTCCCGGCTCTCTGAATCAGCCTGTGCGGAGAGCCTCCTCCGTTCGGGGAACGTTCAACTAAAGAAGTTTGTTGGGCCTAGAGACACCAGGCCGCAGTGCCTGGCACCCTTGTTGTATCCGGAATGACTAGCATGAACCATCAATCTCAAGGGTGCTCATGGCATCAAAAAATCTTGATTTGCCAGCCGTACCACAGGCAGGCCGCGTTTGGCTATACAGTGGCCAGACAAAACTTCAAAGTGCTCACGGAGGTGATGTACCAAAGTCAGCCGAGGCCATTCCTGAAGGGCAGCAGAGGACTTTCCCTCTACGCCAGTACGAGATTCGACTGACTCGCATCCGCTTTTCACGGTCTTGTTGCTCATCTGAAACAGCCCCACAATTTCGGACCTTCCTTGTCCCGCATCTACGGACTGCTCAGGTTTGGGGGCAAGGACAAACCGCCTACATCTATTTAACGAAGAGTACATCCAAACACTCACCGCTGCCTTTTGCGTGATAGAAGCCGAAGTGCAATGTTGGTGCTGGGTGGGAAAGTCTATACGATGCTCTGATTTGCAACGCTCTTACCGACCTGGAAAACTCTCCACTCGATCGCAGACTTCTGTACATGAATTAGACAAGGCCTCTGCATTGCTAGTCTTCGCACCTTGTAGTCAAGCGGAACTTAACTGGCCGAGCTCGGCAAAGCTTGTTGCAAGATTACCTGCTGTTAAACTCTACGGATGCTGTCTTTCGATTTCTTTTTTGCTGCCAAGCAGCGATTTTTAAACCACTTCTCGAAGAGGCGCCGGTGCCCTACCTGCCACAATCAGCATTGCAAGGCCAAGGCCACGACAGCATAGACAGCTGACACGAAACTAAGCACACGGCCTTGTCGATCTTTAGGTCATGATAGAAGAGCCTCATAGCAAGGACCCTAGGACAATCTGTTTAGCAATGCCTCTGGCTTGCAAGATGGCAGAGATTGAGCGTGAAAGCAAGCGAGCCGGGAGCAACTGGTCTAGCGTCCAGTGTCCGTCTGATCGTCGAACCATGTACAGGCCGAGGATCTGCACAGAGAGTCGTACGGAACAAAACAGTCTACGGCCAGGCCACGTAATGTACTCCTCATTGGGGAAATGCTCGGATTTGAGGTGTCTGTCGCTGCTGACATGCACAGGCCTGTTCCAAGCTGTCGAAATGTGCCAACAAGCGGGCCCTGTACCTCCAACAAAAACCGTTGCAAGTAAGTCTACAAGCAGTCTCTTGTCTAGGCTGCTTCTTTGTCGCCGCTCTTAGCTGCACCATGGGTACGACGGTTACAGTTACTGGCTGTGTGCCCTTTTTCCGCACGGACTAGCCCTAAACCCAAAACCTTTTTTCAGCATGGGCTTGGATTGCGTGCCGGCGAACACTCCTCAACAGCAAGGCCTTCTCATCCAACCAGGGATGCAACCGCGGGAGTGACTGAAACACAAGAAGGACTAAACGCGATGCGCTGCGGAACTCGGGGCACTGGTGGAGCAGGCCCTTTCCTTGGTCGACGTCCTCCAACCATTCGCTCAATCCCAAGGATCTCCAGGAGGCCTCAAGGCATCGCAGGAGGGCGCAGAACGGCCTTTGGGGCCTTTGTGGCCATCGCAGGGCATTGCAGGCCACGTCTCTGGGCGCAAGGCAGCTCTTTCTCCAGCGCGGAACCTGTCGCACGCAGGAACGCAGGGGTGTACACCCCTCGTCTTCCCTGAAGACGCAGTCTCAGCATCTGGCCGCTGCGCTTCGGGTCTTGGTGGCTGCAGATTCGGCGCCGAACTTGAGTTGCCCTGCCGGGGCTACACTTCGCCGCATAGGGAACAAACATGTCCGCAGCGATCCTGACTCTGCCAAATGTGACGCAGGCCTTGGGCTTGCCCTCTGGATCCGGTCGCACTGCTTGCCGAACCTCGCGGCACACTTTCGTGGGACCAGGAATCGCTTCGACGGAAAATCTTCCGGAAAACCGCTCTTTCCAAGGGAGGCTTCTATCTTTAAGGACGTGTGGTTCCTGCGTGTTCCCACCAACGCAAGGAAATGATGTACCTCCTGTACATTAACAGTGGACATAGGTAACCATCACAGGGCCCCCATGGCTTGGACAGCTGAGGTCACAGCTGCATCAGAAGCAGCAAACCTTGCATCACAAGCGTGTCAACCCACCCCACTGCCGCTAAGTCTCGGCCAAGCAGCTGAAAACGCTGCAGAGTCGCAGGGTTCCTGTGGCCTGGGCAAATCCGGCGCTGAATTTGACAATAAAGCCCTTGAATCAAAGGCTGGAGGTGGCACAGCTGAGCCGGTAACTGACGTCGTGGCAGCAACCACATTTGTCTCCGAAGTGGCAGTGGTTGTGGACAACGAAAAACACACAAGGCACACCTCAGCTTTCTGACAGTTTCTTAAAAACACACAAAGCCTCGCCTCATGGCATACACCTCCAGGGGCCCAGGCACGTCCCACGTGTATGGCTTCTAACTGAAGCTGTAGGTTGCTCCCTGGCACAAGCAAGCTTTTGTAGCGAGTCTCCATGAAGAATAGCCGACAAAAAACCTTAAAACCCCGATACCCAAAGCCGGGGCTCCCATGGACTGCTCCCTGCTTGCATGTTCTTTGTGACGGTACAAGACTGAATCGAGTTGATGGATGTTCCGGCGATCGTCGATTTTGACTTCGCACATCTGTGTGCCCTGATCTCGCGAGGTTGATCTCGAAGGCGTGTCACCAGCAACTTCGAACACAGGGGACAGTGCGAACTTTTCACCAACCCACCTCGACGATCGGCAACACTTGCTTGAAGGGCCCCATCTGAGGATGAGATAGGACGAGAGTGTGGGTGATGATGACACAACGTAAATTGAATTGGAGGGTGGAACTCGCCGGTGCCCGCTGGGCACAGACCCATGGTGCCGGACTCCGTTTCTCGTGGCAATCTCAACAGATGTACGTGCATGGCCTTCATTCATCTCTGCACCGTTGAACATGATTTCGACATGCGCGCCAGCACCAGAATGTATTCCCCTCAGCTTCGACCTTGCTTCCTAGTGGAAAATCTTGAAGGACCTCCTGTTAAAAACTCTCACGTGAAACCCCATTAGCGGCCGTGCCTCAAGGACCAGTGCTCTGGCCTCAGCTGTTGGCATGAGCAGATCTACCCAGGACTCCGCGGCTTGCACTGGAGGTTGCGATACAGAGAGGTATATGCTAACGCTCTAACCCAGTGCTCGTCACAGCTTCACAGCACTCTAAAACTCTAAACTGCTGCCAAATGTCTGGCCCAGAGCGAGCGAAAGCATACGCTCGGGGGTTGGCGCCTTCACAAAGGGACATCTCAAACTGACATCTCACGGGGGGAACTCGTCTCAAAGCCCCTGGCGGCCGCCCCCAACACATCCTCATGAAGAGCGCGGTCTTGCGAAGACGATTCATACCCCTCAGCAAAAGCAGGATTGCGACATCAAGCAGGGCCCCAGTGCGACGACCATGACCACCCCATCATCACATGTCTAGGGCTAGATTCTAGGTCAGCTGGGCTTGCACATCTGGCGAGACGAGGTCGCTGCCGCACTCGAAGTGGGAAAGCTGCTCGCGTAGGGCGCCTGAGCAAGCACGCTCCGTAACCTCCAGGCATGTCCCAGTTCCCAGAAGCGACAACTGCAAGTGCGAGCCTGACTTGCTTCGGCTTCGGTACTTGAGGCTGTGCTCCCTGCCAACGCAGATCACCCCCCGTGTAGTCATCTGATATATCGAACCATGTGCAGCATATCGGCTGCTACGAAGATGCACGACAAAACATCTTCGTATCGGTTGTGCGATATCACAACATACTGGCCTATCGCCTTCGACCTGGAACATGCTGCCTCCCCGAGCACAAACTGACGACCCAGAGGCACTGCCAAAAGCAAAGCAACTAAGCATGTATGGCGCATATATGCACAAATGTATGTATAGGTGCACACGTACGATATGTATGTATATCGGGGCCGGGAATTAAATAATCGAAATAATTTGAATAATTTAAGATTACTTAAATTGTTTAATTGGGGGTCTGTATGTATGTATGTATGTATGTATGTACGTATGTATGTACGTATGTATGTACGTATGTATGTACGTATGCATGTATGTATGTATGTATGTATGTATGTATGTATGTATGTATGTGT